GTGTAAAAATAGCAGAAGAAGACAAATCTAAAATTAAGAAGTTTGACGGGTCAGACTTTGCCTATTAAAAGTCACAGATAGAGAACTATCTGTACCAGAATGATATTTATCGTACGCTGATGGGTAAAGCAAAAGGACAGAAGAAAGAAGAATCCGACGAGAACTTGAAAATATTAGATCGAAAAGCCTTAGGGCAGGTCCGATTGGTCCTCGTAAAATCTGTAGCACACAATATATTAAAGGAGAAGACGATCGTGGGGCTTATGGAAGCGCTCGTAACGATGTACAAGTAACCGTCAGCTACAAATAAGGTGCATCTCGTCAAAACGCTATTCAACTTCAAGATGGCAGAAGAATGTTCCTTCACGATGCATCTCAACGAGTTCAACACGATTGTTGATCAACTCATCTCAGTCGACATCATGTTTGATAACGAAGTACAGACCCTATTGATATTATCACAGTTGCCAGATAGTTAGACAGGTTATGTGACCGCAATCAGCAATTCTGAGAGGAAGGAGAAGTTAAAGCTGAACGAGGTGGTAGCTATGATTCTATCCGAGGAGGTTAGAAGAAAATTGAATGAATCAGAAGGTTCAGGTTCAGCCCTAAGTCTCGAGTAGAGAGACAGAAGCCATAATAGGGGAAATCAAAATAGGAATCGATCAAAGTCGAAGAAGAAGAGGTCAAACTCAAAGGTGAGACCTATCAAAGGGAGATATTGGAACTACGGTCAAGAGAACCACACGTCTTCTACCTGTAAAGCACCGAAGAAGGACAAAATTGAGCAGGAGGCTCATATTGTGTAAGATGCATTGATTCTCGCTATGGATAGCGATTCCGATTCATGGGTCATTGATTCGAGAGCCTCTTTTCACGCCACTACTAATAGGAAACTCTTTCTGAACTATGTAGCAGGGAACTTTAGGAAAGTATACTTGGGATATAATGAACCATGTAGTATCATTAGAAGAGATGATGTGCAAATATAATTGAAGAACTCCAAGTGGTCTCTAAAGAATGTCAGACACGTACCGAAGCTGAAGAAAAATCTTATTTCGGTTAGTCAGCTTGGAAAAGAAGGCTATGTTACAATATTCATCAGAGATTCGTGAAAAATCTCCAACGGTACAATGGTGGTTTACCGTGGCAACAAGATCGGTACCCTCTACCTAACTTCACGTGCGAGTGACACCCTCGTAATTACAGAAGGTAAGGAGAGTGCAGATCTGTGGCACAATAGGCTGGGACACTTGAGTAAGAAGGGTATGAAAATTTTACATTTAGAAGGAAAACTAACCGGCATCAATTCGGTGAAAGTCGATGTTTGTGAAGACTATATCTTCAAAAAGCAGAAGAGAGTTAGTTTTCTGAAGGGTGAAAGACCACCTAAAGATCACAAGCTAGAACTTGTTCATACAGATGTATGGGGTCCAGTTAGCGTGTCTTCTCTTGGCAGTTCGGCGTACTACGTCACCTTTATCGACGATCACTCGAGAAATATGTGGGTATACTTCATGAAGTACAAATCAGATGTGTTTAGCATCTTTAAGAAGTGGAAATCCATGGTGGAGAATAAGACAGATCTGAAAGTGAAGTGTCTGAGATCAGACAATGATGAAGAATATGAACTGGAAGAGTTTAAGAAGTTCTGTGCTATGAATGGGATTTGTTTGGAGAGGACTATTCTAGGGACGCTGCAACAGAATGACGTAGCAGAAAGAATGAATAGAACGCTAACAGAGCGTATGAGGAGCATGCGTCTACATGCAGGTCTACCAAAAACTTTTTGGGCGAACACGGTGCATACAGCAACGTACCTGATAAATCATGAGCTATCAGTTCTATTAAACTTTAGAATTTTAGAAGAGGTTTGGAGCGGCAAGAAGGTTAATCCCTCACACTTGAGTCTTTAGTTGTGTGGCATATGTCCATATTAGTGATCATGACAGAGACAAGCTGAAAGCTAAGTTACTGAACTGTACATTCATTGGGTACGACATTGATGAGTTTAGGTATCGTCTTTGGGATGAGAAGAACAGGAAAATCATTAGGAGCCGAGACGTCATATTTAATGAGGAAGCAATGTATAAGATCAGTAATAATGCCAAGGCTAGCCACAGCAGTGAGAGCAGCACTACGGATGCGGGCGCATCTGAGTACATGGATTTAGATGAACTTTTAGATGGGGGAGACAATGTCAATTCTGACCAAAGAACGAAGGAGAATCCAGGTGCAGAACCGACTACCCAGGGTGAGAAGCTTAGGAGGTCATCCAGGATACCCAAACTGAAACCCAGGTATCTCTCGTCACTAGACTACCTACTTTTGACAGATAGCGGAGAACCAGAATGTTATGAGGAGGCTATGCAAGTGAGTAAATCTCAGTAGTGGGAGCATGCAATACAAGAAGAGATGGATCTCTCCACTCTAACGAGACATGGGAGTTAGCCTCGCTACCTGCAAAGAAGAAAGCCTTACATAACAAGTGGGTCTATCGAGTCAAGCAGAAGAGTGATGGAAGGAAGAGATACAAGGCTAAATTAGTCATGAAGGGGTTCTAACAGCAGGAAGGAGTGGATTATACAGAGATATTTTTCCCAGTTATGAAGCTCACAACCATCAGGGTGATGTTAAACTTGGTAGCTGTTGAAAATTTTTACCTTAAGCAGTTAGATGTGAAGACTATCTTTCTTTATGGTGACTTGGATAAAAAAATCTACATGAAGAACCTTGTTGTCTTTATTGAGGAAGGAAAGGAAAAGATTGTGTGTAGGCTCAAGAAGAACTTATACGGATTGAAACAGACCCCAAGATAGTTGTATAAGAAGTTTGATAACTTCATGCAGAGCAATTGTTATGACAGATGCAATTCAGATCATTGTTGTTACTTCAAGATGTTCGAGTCCAGCTATATAGTGTTATTGCTTTATGTTGATGACATGTTAGTTATAGGACCGTATTTACAAGAGATAAACAAGCTGAAGAAGTAGTTAGCAAAAGAGTTTGTCATGAAGGATCTGGATGCAGCGAAGCAGATTCTTCGGATGCGGATCAGCCGAGATGCGGCTGAGGAGACGCTGAAGTTGAGTCAGTCTGAATACATTGAGAAAGTACTTTAGATATTTAATATGAAGAATGCTAAGGTCGTTAGTACGCCCCTTGGAAGCCAGTTCAAGTTATCTGGTGAGCAATCACCCAAGACTGATGTAGAGAAGAAGCACATGAAAAATATGTCTTATTCATTAGCTATTGGTAGTCTGATGTACGTAATGATTTGCACGAGGCCGGATATTGCTCATGCAGTAAGAGTTGTGAGCAGGTTTGTAAGCAACCTAGGAAAGCAACATTAGGAGACCGTGAAGTGGATATTATAATATCTGAGAAAAACTATGAATATGCCACTGTGTTTCGAGAGAAAGGAGTTGGTACTGTAGGGATATGTGGATACGGATTTCGTCGGTGATCATGATACAATGCGAAGCATCACGGGGTACGTTTATACCTTAGGGTCGACAGCAGTGAGCTGGGTCTCACGTTTGCAGAAGATTGTGATGTTATCCATAACTGAGGTAGAGTATGTCATAGTAATAGAGGTGAGAAACAAAATGATTTGGTTAATCGGGTGCCTGGAAGAGTTGGGTTTGAAACGGGGGAACAGTGTTCTTTATTGTGATAGCCAGAGTGCTATACACTTTGCCAAGAACCCAATATTTCATGCCAGAACGAAGCACATCGAGTTACGTTACCACTTCATACGCTCGATGATTGAGGAGGGGAAGTTACAGTTAGAGAAGATTTTAGGGAGCCAAAATCCTGCAGATATATTGACTGAAGCAGTCACCATTCAAAAACTGGAGTTGTGCGTAAATTCAGTTGGCCTTCATGCATAGGAGATGAGGATGGAACCATACAGGAAAAGATATGCCTGTCTTCTCAGCGAATTAATTGCAGAAGCCAGACGACGGCCATTTATTGAAGAGCTCCTGTAGCTCAGAATTTTTAGAGAAAATTCTCTTGATTCCTGTATCGGTTTTTTTAGCGGATTGAGAAGAGATTTTCCAAGTTGGAAAATCTCGTGCCTTATTTGAAGAACAGAAAGTCTATGTTGCTTCTTTGTTTTTGAGAGATCTTAAGTTTGAGATCTACTCTTTACAATCTTGTAATCTTCTTTTATATAAAGAAAATTATTTGTGAGGCTCCCGAGAACGTAAGCAAGTTGCCGAACCTCGTTAAAACTCGGTGTTCTCTTTTCTTACAATTATTTTAATTTGCTGTGGTTTTTTCTTTCTATTGTCTTAACACAAGATCCGATAGGACGAATTCCGCAGAGGGTTCATATTTGACAGGTGGTCGAGTAGCTTGAATCCCCAACAATATTGGACTCAAACAAGTAAACAAATCACTTGTATTATACCCACAATAAATGACACTACAACACTTTTCAAAGACCACTCACAATTTGAAGAGAAATACAAACACTCAAAAGAAAGCTCACAACTCACTTATTTTGGTGGACACTCACACAAGCTTACACTACAATCAAGCTCACTTCTTGCTTACTTACACAAATGAGAGCCCAAGACCCTTATTTATAGTTGAGTAAGAGGGCTAGGAAGTGTGTGAAAGAATCAAATCTAGCCATACATTAGTAAGAAGTTTCTAAAAGAATAAATACTAGCCATACACTTGTATCATCCTAGAAACTTCTTGGTAGATATTTTGTAGGATGTTACTATAAAGAAGTTCTAAAAAATTATTCTAGAACAATCTAAGTTAGTGAGGAATTCTAACATGTAAGTGAACAAATTTCCGTCTCAAAACCACGTAGAAACTAGTTTGGAAAGTGCATGACAAATATTTCCTTAAAGGAATGACACACTTTCTTACATACTACTCGTCATTCTCAAACATATGAATTACAAAATCCCTCTAAAGACACCACTTTGTAGTAATGAATGGTGAAATTTTGTAAGATGTAGAGTTCTGGTAATACTGACCTGAGCTAAAAGTTCCAGGAGGAAGAAGAACCATAACAAGGGCTGAGGAAGAAAGAACGGCAGCGCTGACAATCTCTAATCTTTGAATCAACCACTCATTTGCTGCAAAGTTATGGAAGAAAGGACTAGCATTATGGTCAATAACCTCATAGTTTTTGGCAGAAAATCGATCTTCCTGCTCGAAAGCTCTGATTGTCATAGTTCCTGCTATTGATTCAGCAAGATGATTTGCTAAAAGAGATCTTGTTGTTCCATTTAACCTCATCAACTCCTTTGCAGCAGCAAAATAATACCCCTGCGGATTCAGAACACTACAAATTAAAACATGAAGAAAAAAAAAGCTTGAAAATGAAAATTTGAACATACCTGCAATCTAAGAGTTAGATAGACTAATGGTATGGCAACAAGTAGAACTTGCCAGGTAACAACAGCCAATACACTAAAATTGCTGATTGCATTAAAGGTAGAACAGAAGGTAAAGATTATGCTGAATGGCACATCAAGGTCAACGATGCTCAAATCAGAAGAAACCTGCAGAAAGATGTTTATAAGTTAAAAAACCCTGTCTAACATTGGAGATAAAAGTTTAATGTCATGTTCAATTTTGAGAATACTTGCCCTACTTAGTATCCTTCCGAGAGGAGTAGAGTCAAAAAATGACATTGGAGCACGAAATAGCGAGTTGATCAGCTGAGAAAATAAAGATTTTGATGACTGTGTGCCTAGAACTACCACCAATAAGGATCTCAACAGTACAAAGATGGATGTACTAATCCCAATTGCCAAATAGACCGATATTAGCTTCAGTGTCGTCACGTCAGGATTCTGAACGTTAGCAGCCATCCATGAATTTTGTGAGATTTGTCCAGCAACAAATATAACTTGGCAAAGAGCTGATAGTGAGGCATATAAGAGGCCCTTGTTCTGATTTAAGTATTGTAGATAAGGCTTCAAACCCACATCACCTGTTTCCTTCTCCTCTTTCTTGATTAATTGATCGACTCCTGATGCTTTATCGTTTCGTGGATGCTTAGTATATTGTACACTGTTGATCTCCCTCTTGGCTGGCTTGTTTTTTCTGTGAGATACGAATTGGTCGAGCATTTCAGACCCAACTGCGTCTTTATGTGCGTTGACTAGGTCTTGAAATTCTCTGCTGGATGCTAGTAATTTGTGGTAAGGAGCAGCCTGCAAGATTTCTCCATCTGACATTAACTGCAAAGACAAAGAACATATTTCATCACCAAAGTTACAATTTCATTAACATGCAGGTTTAGATAGAAAACCAATTAATCACTTCATGAAAGAGAACCAGATATATTCATTAAACCTGAGATCAGTACGTATGAAAGGAGATTGATTTATAAAACGATGGCTAGA